AACAGCCCCCGAGAGGAGTCGCCAGAGAGCTGAAAGAACAGTGGAGGCCGCGGAAGATGCACCAGAGAAAAACTGGAAGAAGTCGCCCGCTCGCCGGATAAACGAACGATCGGAGCCGGGAGGGTACCTGGTAGGGCTCCCCCCACCCCACCCCCACCCCAGACGTACTGTGGCCATAGTTAGGGTTTCTGCATAGGTCTCTGCACCATGCACCGTGTAAGCCGCTCAGAGCCCTTCTGGGGTGAGCGGGGTACAAATTGAAAGTATAAATAAATAAATAAATAAATAAAACCAAGCTGGATGGTGCGGGGACAGGTCCATTTTGCATATTACAAAAGCTGGAATGTGATAACTACTTGGTTAAAGAAGTGGGCTCCCAAAAGGAAACACAAGTCGTCCACATTAACCGATTGGAACACTTCTGAGAAAGACCCAGTCAGATGTTTCCAGTGAAGGTGGCAGAGGGGGAGGAGGTGTGTCTTCCTGAGCAAGTGCAAATCGCAGTCGGTGCCCCACCTATCGCCTCAACAGCAGGATGAGCTGAAGCAGGTACTGAACTGTTTCCAGCCTCTTTTTTCTAATGTACCTGGCAAGACTGATTTAATTACCCATCGTATTGAGACAGGGGCAGATGCACCTATAAAATCTAGCCCTTGTCCATCGAATGGGCCTATGAAGGAAATTGTAGCCACTGAGGTTCAAACAATGTTATAAAGTGGGGGGTGATCAAGGAGTCCCATTCAGGTTCGGGGGCACCCATTGTCATCATATCGAAAAAGAAATTGTCTGAGGATAAAGGTAAAGGTTCCCTTGCTTGAAAGCCAGTCGAAGCCGACTCTAGGGTTGTGGTGCTCATCTCCGTTTCAAAGCCGAAGAGCCAGCGCTGTCCGAAGACGTTTCTGTGGCCATGTGGCCGGCATGACTAAACACCGAGGCACACGGAACACTGTTACCTTCCCACCGAAGTGGTACCTATTTATCTACTTGCAATTTCTTGCTTTCGAACTGCTAGGTTGGCAGGAGCTGGAACTAGAGATGGGAGCTCACTCCATCATGCGGCACCCAGGTCTCGAACTGCTGAACTACTGACCTTTCACAGCCTGCAGTTCAGCGTCTTAACCACTTGAGCCACCGCAGCTCCTACCCCTACTGAATATCGCTTTTGTGTTGACTTCAGGAAGCTGAATAAGGTAACATTTGTGGACCCTTACCCTACTCCTAGAATTGAGAATCTAATTGAGAACTTAAGTGGTGCTGCTTATATTAGCGTTATCGATTTGGCTTCAGGTTACTGGCGCGTCCGAGTCCTGAGGCTTCTGATAAAACTGCCGTCATGTCACCTCTGGGACATTATCAATTTGTCAAGATGCCTTTTGGGTTGAATGGAGTGTCAAAGACCTTCCAGAGACTAATGGATCACAGGCTTAATAGATTGCTTTTTGCAGCCACTTATCAGGATGACATCGCCATCTGCAGTCCAACTTGGGAAAAACACCTGGAACGTGTGCAAGAAGTACTTCAAAGGATTTATAAGGCTAGACTCACTATTAAGGCCTCTAAATGTCAATTTGGATGTAATCATGTTTATCTGGGTCATGTGACTGGGTCTAACAGCATCAGGCCTCATGAGGCTAAGGTTGGTAGCATTATGGATTGGCCTAAGGGATGTACAAGCGTTCCTAGGCCTCGCAAATCCCTACAGACGGTTGAAGGGTTCAGTAACTGGGATGCCCCCTTTGTGTAAGAAAAGGGCTCCAACTAAGGTCATCCGGACGCCTGAGTGTCAACAGGCCTTTGAGGCCTTGAAAAAGAAAATGGCTCAAGCACTCATCCTGGTGCACCTTGACTATAAAAATCATTTTGTGGTAAGAACCGATGCTTCAGAAAGAGGCCTAGGTCTAACTGTGAGTTGTCAAAATGCAAAGAAAAAAGATCTAAAAACCGTTTCCCCCCCACCCAGCGAAGAAGGCGAGGAGGTTAATCCTCTAACTGCATAAGCGAAAAAGAAAAGGAGGGGGGGAATGGACTGAGCGAACAGTGATGTTTTCCCTTGATGTATTTGAAATAAAGCGAGAGAAAGTTTTGTCTCTCTGGAGCACATTTTAAGAACTTTTTAAAAGTAAACAAAAAAGAAAAGATGTCAGAGCTGGGCAAAAACGAGCGGAGGAGAAGGAGGGACTTCCGTCTGGGCGTTTGCTTGTGTGTGAGAGCCGGCTGTTTAGTGTTTTGGATTGTTTATGGTTGTGAATCCGACGGGAGTTTTGTAAAATGGAAAAGTTTGAACTGTGACAGCGAGGAGTGCCTGGCAAGCGCTTATATACGTCCAGTTTCGAGGAGGACCCAATAGAGAGTTTGGGAGCGGAAATAAAAGCGAAATGAAATTAATACCATTCTCAAAGTTGGGGACCTCCAAGGCATGAAAGGAAGAGGATTTATAGTGCATGAACTGAGTGTGTTAACAGCAACCCGAAGGAGGATTTAACAAGCCGGAAGTAGAAGACAACAGAGGAAGCCCCTACACGTCAGCGATAGTAAAAGTGCCCAGCACGCAAAGAAGCGGTTCTGACTGTGTCCAGAAGAGATTTTTCTTTTTTTGTTAACGGAAACTTCAAGGGAACATTAACAGAAATTCAAGGGAACATTACTAACATTACTAACATATTAACAGAGAATTATATGTGACTGAACTAAGAAAAGAAGTTTGACAACACACAGAAGAAGCCCAAGAAGATTAATTGGACATTACTAACAGTTTAATTTACCAGTTTATATATCACTCAGCTTTCTCTTTCTCCCGCTGTCTACCCTTCCCATTTTTTCTTTTAAGCGAAATACCTCCCCTTTTTAGGGGAGCTAATAAAATCTTTATAAAAAAAAAAAAGAAAAGAAAGAGGCCTAGGTGCCATGTTACTTCAGAAAGGAAGAAGAAGAAAAGAGATTAGATTTATACCCCACCCTTCACTTGGAGTCTCCTTTCCCTTTCTCTCCTCACAACAGACACCCTGTGAGGTAGGTAGGGCTGAGAGAGCTCTTTCAAGAACTGCTCTTGAGAGAATGTGTGACTGACCCAAGTCACCCAGCAGCTGCATGCGGAGGAGTGGGGAATCAAACCTGGTTCTACAGATTAGTCTGCTTCTCTTAACCACTACACCAAACTGGCTCTCTGGAAGCGATGGGGAGCTTCTCCCTGTTGTATTTATTTTGTTAGACTTTTATCTCACCCTCCCCTGCACACAGGGCTCAGGGTGACTTACAATAATTAAAACACAGGTCAATTAGTTAAAATAATAAAACCCTCTATCAATTATACAACAGTAATAAGTAGAAAGTTATTGCCCCAGGAACAAGCCTTTTGCACCCGTGAGAAAGGTTTGGCCTTTGTTTGGGCCCTTTAACAAGCCAAATTCATCATATGCATTAAAGTCATTGTTGAAACTGACCACAATCCCTTGTCTTTCATTTGTCAGATGAAGGGAAATAATGCCTGGATTCTGAGGTGGGCCCTGAGCCCTGCAGGATTTCGGCTTCGAGATTGTTCATATTAAGGGCAGTCAGAACACTGTGGCTGCCACAGTCTGTCCTGCCAGGGGCCAGGGGGTACGGAGTAAATCTCTGAGAGGGGTTTTCAGTAGTTCCTGCTTAATGTGTATGTTGTTCTGCTTTTCCTTTTCTTCATGCTGCTATAATAACCATAATCCACTTTAGAGGAATGTGAAAATTGCAGTCACTTTGTCTAGGTATAGAAGCTTCATCCATGGCATTACCTGGCAACCAGTGTTCCCTCTAAGCTGAGTTAGTGTGAGCTAGCTCACAGTTTTTTAGCCTCTGGCTCACACATTTTTGTCTTAGCTCAGGGAGGACAGCTCCAGAGCAAACTAATTGATGCAGTAGCCAAATTGCTCACTCACAACTTTAATGTCAGTAGCTCACAAAAGTAGAATTTCTGCTCACAAGACTCCACAGCTTGGAGGGAACATTGCTGGCAACCCTGATATCTCTGAAACCTCTTCCTTTGTTTGTATCATCAGCTCTCTAAGCACTCGGCAGCCTTTCTGACAGAGACCAACTGATAGTTTCTGTGATTGGCAGCTTTTGTTATCTTTGCTACAGGAAACAAAAATAGGCAACTTTACCACATACTGACTCTAGATGAAATGCAAGACAAGCCAACCAGTTGCTGGGTAGGAACAGGACGTGCTCAACACGTGCGCTAGTTTTTACCAACTGTTGTACACTGATGGATAATGTCCCCAGAACCTCCCTAGCAATAAACTTTGTGTAGGCAAGACTTGCTATAATGTATTTCTTCTTCTGTGGTAGTAGACCTAGACTGAACATATGTAATTAAAGACAAACAGCAATAAGTATACTTGCATAGTTTATTCCAGAGGGGACATCTTACTTTGGTATTGTCCTGTATTTGGTCAGATATTCCCAAGAGTGGAGCCAGGCACGTTCTGTTCCGGGCCTAATTACCTCAGGTCTCGGAACCCTCTTGAGCAATTGAGAACAAAGGGATCAACCTCAAATCCTCTTGCTTGGCCAGGAAGTGTTCAGAGCCCCTCAAGCTCTTGGCCAACCACCATGGTAGCTCCCTCTGCCAATCACAGGCCACACCCTCATCCTGACACAGCAGCAGAACACAAAAGAAATTCCTCTCAGGATAACTGAAGTTTTAGAACACCTGAGCATTTTTGAAAGTAGAGCAAAAAAGACAGAGGGAAGAGACGTGCCACCCCAACCCAAGTAGATTTTATTATAAGCCATTTTCATTGCTGTTATTGCAACCAATAAAGCAGGGAAAGGAGTAGCGGGATCCTGGAGAGACCAGCCTACGCAGGGCCGGCTCACTCACTAGGTGAACTAGGCAATCGCCTAGAGCGGGACGGCCCTTAGGGGCACCAAACTGCACCTGGCCCCATACTCTGGGAGTTTCTTGATTATTTGTGTTTTTCATTCTTCCTAAAATGCATTTATTTTTGGAAATTGGTGGGCGCACAGGGCGGGGGGGGGGAGGGCAGAAGGGATCCTCGCCTAGGGTGCAAAATAAGCTGGAGCCGGCCCTGAGCCTACGGGAACCCTCAGGGCTTCAGGTCCCACTTCCAAAGGGCCTGAGTTTTGTGCCTCGATCGATGCAATGCCATTTGCTCTTTAGCAATCCCTTACTGCTGTTCCTTGAATATAACAAAGTTCTCCTCCCCGGTCACTCCAATCCTATTCCAGATATGCCACCCTCCAAACACAAGAGGAGTTTACTCGGCAAGTCCCAACAGTTTCTCACTGAATTCCCACAGCTTCTTGGCGATGGCGTCATCGCGGGCTTGGGGATAGGGTTCCTGCAGCTTGCAGTTGGCAAAGTAGTGGCCACTGAACCTCTCGATCCCCTCCTGAGTGGCGCAGTAGATAGTAGTCTGAGCTCCGTTCACTGGATCGCGTAAGAAGAGCCAGCAAAGAGGGCCAACAATCAGCTTCAGCCATATGCTTGCATGGCGAAAGAGCTCTGTGTTAACAGTCCCTGAAAGTCAAAGGAAACCATGGTTTTTGTTAGCTCCAGGGGAGGAGGAGAGGAGATCTGAACCTGGGTGGGGTGGAGTATCACCCAAGTGCTGCAACTGATCAGAAAGCAAAATGCAAGAGCACAGTGGGCCATTTCAGGAGGTTTCTTTGAGAAGCATCCACGAAGGCTGTTAGCACTGGCAATGTGGGGGGATTGAAAGCATGAATTTCAGGAGCTTGCTTGCTTCCCTGCAACTTCTTAGTTGGCTCCAAGAAAGGTATTAGCTGGTCCCAGTGGGACTTCAGAATGCCCAGAAGGTACAACTGCCAGCAGACGGTGTTATCACCATCCTAGCCTTTATTTTATTTATATCCCACTTTCCCCCCTGATAAGGACCCAAAGTGGCTTATCATGTTCTCCCCTTCTCCATTTCATTTATTTATTGCAATTAGTAGTTTTATTTAACACACAAACATATTTAAAAACCTGGTAAAATAACTCAAAAACAAACCTACGAGAAAATACAAAAACATCACAAAATTATATCATCACAGTATCTTATAGTCAGTAAACCCACTGCTGTATATGTATCTCAATCTCTGTGTCTTAAAAACCACAAAACTCTAAGGAAATAAGAAAAGGCAGTGGTGCAGATAACGACGAAAATTCTTGTGTAATTGTTTTTGCAATTCTAACTCTAGTACAGGAAACTGACTTGTCCAGTACATTAGAAAACACCAAATGATTCTCTGCTCTATAAATAGAGTTTCCCTTCTCCATTTTATCCTCACACCCACCCTGCAAGGTAGGTTAGGCTGAGTGCATGAGACTTGGCCCAAGGTCACCCAGCAAGCTTCCATGGCAGAATTGGGGTTCGAACCTGCATCTCCCAGATGCTAGTCCAAAACTCTGATCACTATACCATGCTGGTTCTCTGTTGCAGTAGGCCTTGGAAGACTTTTATAATTGTGCCTTGGGCAGCCAGAGACTCCTCTGAAACCTCATAGCTGGGTCTCAGTCCACTAAAGTTTCTGTGAAGAAGTTGTTTGATTTCCCCCCCCCCCCATTGCCTACCTCTGTTTACAACTGGAGGAGAAATATATGACTAGTTGTAGTAATCCATGCTCTTTCTCCAGAACAAGGGTTTCTTTTCATTTCACTATTTCCCTCACCCTGATTTTAGGTATTGTTGGCCAACAAAAAACAGCAAGAAAAGAAGAAGATGAGATTGGATTTATACCCCACCCTTCATTCGGAGTATCAAAGCAGCTTACAGTCACCTTCCCTTCCTCCCCCCACTCCCTGTGAGGTAGGTGGGGTTGAGAGAGCTCTGAGAGAACTGCTCTTGAGAGAACAGCTCTCAGGGAACTTTGACTGACCCAAGGTCACCCAGCAGCTGCATGTGGAGGAGTGGGGAATCAAACCCGGTTCTCCAGATTAGAGTCCCCACCACTCTTAACCACTACACCAAACTGGCTCTCCGACTTGCTGCCGATGGAAGGTATAGAATCATGGTACTTTCTTATTCTTGCATTGCCGTGCAGTCCCAACCTCAGTCACCTTCACAGATGAGCAGGAGGGTCACAGGAATAGGTCTCAGCCCCACATTTAGAAGCCGAACTTGACACCCACAGGCAGAGATCAGAGTTGACATACATTCCTGAACGCTCTACAAAGGGAGCAATTTGCATTTCAAGGTGGAGAAAGCAAGGCCACCCTGGAAAGATCTCAAGGACTCCAGATCCATACCTCTTCTGTTTTGCAACAGCCAAGTTCACCCACCTGGATGAAGCGCATAGCAGGTCACACTGGTCCCTTCCAGTCTGTTAGCCAGCTCTCGTGTATACAGGATATTGGCCAATTTGCTGTTGCAGTAGGCCTGGAAATATTTCACCAGCCCACCCAGAACAGGCTTGTGGATGTTCTGAAAATTGATCTTTCCTATCCGATGTGCTCTTGAGGCCACCACCACCACGCGGCTAGGAGCACAGCACTTCAGCCGGTCCAAGAGGAGGTGGGTCATCAGGAAGTGGCTCAGGTGGTTAACTTGGAAAGTCAAGTCAAAGCCATCGGCACTTTTGCCTGAAGACTGAACACCTGTTGGGGAATTCAGCAGCATTAAATAACTGCGGACACCATGGGCCACCCAAAAGACAGATAAGTGGGTTCTAGATCAAAACAAGCCTAGATCAAAACATCCCTAGAAGCTGATATGGCTAAACTGAGGCTATCATAGGAGAAGACAAGACCCACAGGAAAAGACAATAATGCAAGGAAAAGTTGAAGGCAGCAGGAAATGAGGAAGACCCAATATGAGACGGATTGACTCAATCACGGAAGTCACACTTGCTCAGTCTGCAAGACCTGAACAAGGCTGTTAACATGAGGACATTTGGGAGAACTTTAAATTCATAGGGTTGCCATAACTGAGCAGTGACTTGATGACACTTAACACACACACAAACAATTGCCACTGTACACCAGGGCATTTCTTATCTGAAGGAACTTCCCAAACCCAAGCAGGGAGTAATAAAGGAATCCCTCTGGGGACACAGTTGTCCCATTTCCTTCAGCCTGGTGGATTTCTCTCTGTCATTGCTGATCTGCATCCTGCACTGGGCAGAAACTGCACCTGCCTGCACATCTCTGCCCCAAGGCTCTGTTCTCACCTGCATTGTTGATAAGAATGTCGAGGCGAGGCTCAGATCTCAGGAAGGCATCCACAAAAGCTCGCACTGAGCTCAGGTCTGCCAGATCCAGGCTCATGAAGAGGACCTCATTGTTCCCACTTTCCTGAGAGCAGAGAAAAGCGAGGAGAAGTGCTTACATAGGATGCTAGGACTCGGGAGCCAACGCAGATAAGTTTCCTTACACTCAGAGCAACAGCCAGAACTGGAATGAGATTCAAATGGAAGCATCAAGGAGACAAGGCAGGTGTGTGCGAAAACGTCTCCTTGACAATGAGAGTTAAAACAGCTGCTGCCATTTGCAGGATCCAGCAGCATTTGCCAGCCCAAAGCCAAGATACTCTTAGTTACGCCAGTAAATGTCAGTCTTGGCAGGAACCTAGACTGAAAAAAAGATGGCAGATCTCCTGCGAATTCATGTCAGGGCTGGCGTCAGCATACCCTGGAGTGAAACAGCTGTCAAGGCGCATGGCTACTGGCAGGGCCACTGCTTCGGACTCCCTATGCATGCATCTCCTCACATGCTCACACACACACCCTTCCACTGCTTGCTGGTGAGGGTTTTGTCACCGGTGCTCCCAGATGCATATACCGCCTAGAGCTGTTGGAGAAGGGCATGGGGGTGGTGGTGCACAAAACATCAGCGCTCCTGGTGGCCATGGCAGTGGAACTCCTAGCTTCACCCACCACGCAGCACCATCAGGGAAAGGGCGTGCAGGCAATGCGGGCAGCTATTACTGCAGGTGGTGGGAGAACACACAAGTGGGCAGGAGAATGATGCTCAAGCAAGTGGGTGCGTGGGCAAGAAAAGACGCCTGAAGTGGGCATACTTCTGCTTCATTGGCTGCTTGGGATGAAAGCGATGACAAACCTAGACAGCATAATAAAAAGTAGAGACATCACCCTGCGAACAAAAATCCATATGGTCAAAGCAATGGTATTCCCAGTAGTAATGTATGGCTGCGAGAGTTGGGACTATAAGGAAGGCCGAGTGCCGAAGAATAGATTCTTTTGAATTATGGTGCTGGAGAAGACTCTTGAGAGTCCCTTGGACTGCAAAGATATCAAATCAGTCAATCCTAAAAGAAATCAACCCTGACTGTTCCCTGGAAGGCCAGATACTGAAGCTGAAGCTGAAATACTTTGGCCACCAAATGAGAAGGGAGCACTCACTGGAGAAGACCCTGATGCTGGGAAAGACTGAAGGTCAAAGAAGGAGGGGACGGCAGAGATGGTTAGACAGTGTCATCGATGCAACGAACATGAAATTAAGCAAACTCCGGTGCACGACAGAAGACAGGAGGGCCTGGCATGATGTGGTCCATGGGGTCGCGAAGAGTCGGACTCAACTGTGCGACTGAACAACAACAACAGTGGGCATAGGGGGCCCCCTGGGCATTCTCCACCAAGAACCCCGAATCATGGAACAGGCCCTGATCAACGTGACATGTTGTCAATCACAAATCCCTTCTGCAGTTTTCAAGAAGCATCCTCCTGTTTACATTCCCATCATGGAGCAACCCTGCTACTCTAACCTCCCCCCTGGCAGGGACTGGAGATTCAATGCATGACACAACGCCCTTTTGAGGAGGGCAGGGAGCTCTCACCCTCCGGATGTCATAGACAGCTGCCTCTGCTCGTGCTTTGTTGCGGCAGGCCATGATGATACGAGCTCCTCTCCGGGCTAGGTCCAGCGCTGTCTCTTTCCCAATTCCTGTGTTTCCACCTGGAAAAGCCCATTGGAGAGATAAGTCGAGGAACGAGGCTTCGAGCAGCCCAGCCCCTGCAGCATGAGCAAGCACAAATCTGCCTCAGTTCCCAACACATTTCTCTATCTAGGCTGGGTGTGAAAACCTCTTGGCACATCACAGATGGATTTTCAACCCGCTTGGCTGGTACGGAAGCAGGAAGTGATCTGCCAGTGTCTTGAAGAGCAACCTTCCTTTCCTAATGCAAGCTTACCACACAGTTTGTAAGAAATGGCCACAATCTGATAAGGAACCAAAATCTGGAAAGCACATTGAAAACATATTTGCAAGGCTGGTGTGTGCAAGAGCAAAGACAACCATGAAAGTCATTATGGAACTCCTCCCACCCAAGCACCTTTTCAGAAAGGCCTAGAAATGCAAGCAGTGCCCCCACCCCCCACCCCAAGTTGTCTGTGTTGAAATTTCCCCTCCTCAGTTATCTGGAAGCAATTCATGGCGGACGCGGACACAAACACAAGGGAACAGTTACTTCCTAGTGTGCTACTATACCCCCAAAAACTACGCTTCATGAATGGCTTCTAGAGATATGCCTCCCCCGGGGGGGGAGAATGTTGAGCCCATGCCCCAGATTTCCTCATTTTTAATTGACACCTTTTGTTCAACTTTTCCAGCAGAAAAATGGAAAAAATTGGGGGAGCACTAAAAAATAAACCTTTTATAAAATATTTTCTTGTTTGAAGGAGTGAAATGCTACTTAAAATGTGTAGTCTGAAGACTTTTATGTATGACGATATATGGCATTAGGGAACAAGGATTACGGTGTATACTGCAGGCAGAGGATGGATTTTCTTCACCCAGCTGGAGCTAGGGTTGCCAGAACCCCCCGGCCACCCACTGGGGATGGGGGGATAGGGTTCCCAGATCCAGGTTGGGAAACTTCTGGAGATTTGGAGATGGCGCCTGAAGAGGACAGGGATCTCAGTGGGTTACAATGCCAGAGAGTCCACCCTCCAAAGCATCCATTTTCTCCAGGTTAACTGAGCTTTGTAGCCTGGAGATGAGCTATAACAACAGTATCTCTACAGAAAGAGGAGCTTGCCAAGAATTCATTCCCATAACAATTAAAAAAACCTCTGGCTTTGTTCTGTTAAAAGTTACCTCATCTGCAGTATGTTTTGTACACAGTTGATAAAACTGTATGTCTTATGTGGTTTTGAAGTACTTTATCTCTACTGTGTCTAAAATAAGGCTGTTTATAAACAATGGCCCCGTTCACACGGAGCAGAAGCCACGCTAAATAGACGGAAGAGAGGCGGAGTTACCTGGCACGATCACACGGCAACATCTGGGGAGCGTAGAGCTCCCGTGGTTGAACTGTGGCGAACCGCCGATAAAACGGAGCAAAAAACTAGTACCTCGGAGGTACTAGTTTCCGGAAACTGCGGGGCAAGGGCGGGCGTCTGATCGCGTTTCCGGTGGCATCCGGCGCCCGTCCATGTCCCCTTGCGAAGAAGGTTTTTTTTCCCCCCAAGTCTCCGTGGTTGCGCATAAGCACTCGACGGAGCATGCGCATTCGTAGTGTACACAAAAAAAGAAACCCAGTTCGCCGCGCCGCGCGCTTCTTCGTTGCGCGCAGGCATGTGTTGTGATCGACGCCTCTCCGTAACCACGGAAGCTCCACGGTACCTCCACAGAACCTCCACAGGAGGTATGATCACTTTACTGCGTGTTAGTTTGCCCCGGGGCAAACAGCCACACTTCTCCCCCGCAGTTTCCTGCGCGTGTGACCGGGGCCAATAAGAGGTTCTGTGGGTATAGAGGCGTGTCTGAAAATACTGTTGTTTAATATTACCAAGACTGCTTGTTTTGATATATAATCCTACTCTAAAAGGGCAGGTACTAATAGGCCCCCCCCCAAACTACAGACTTCCAGTTCAACTAGGGTTCCCAAACGGCGGCGGGGGATCCGCGCGTGTTCGCAGGATCGCTGCCGCGGGGGACAGCGATCCGCGCTGCACCGGCGTCGCCAGGATGTGACGCTATGCGTCGCCCTGGCAACGGGACTCCAAACAGCCCCGTTGCCAGGGCGACGCATAGCGTCACATCCTGGCGACGCCGGTGCAGCGCGGATTGCTGTCCCCCGCGGCAGCGATCCTGCGAACACGCGCGGATCCCCCGCCGCCGTTTGGGAACCCTAAGTTCAACAGATATAACAAAATTGGTAGCCTCCAGTCTATCACAGGCTACAATGAAAGATCTCCCAACTACTGATCCAAGAAACTGTCTCATCTACTGTAAAAGCGAAGCTGTGGAACCCATTAAAGAGACAATGAATGCTATGTCACAGCAGCTTTCAAACAAGATGGAGGATCTTCAGAAGAAATTATTAGAGAACAACCAGAAGATTGCTGACTTGAATAAAACAACCTCTAGACTGGAAGATAAAGTAGACGAAACAGAACATAAACTTCAAGCAAGATCTTATGAAGCTTCAATTAGATGAAGCAGAAATTTTACAAACTTTTACAGGAACTGATCTCAACACAAAACTTTGATGAAATTTGTTTGATGGGTGACTATAATGCTGTTTTTGACAGCTCTTCAGATAGAGAAACTTTAACTGGAAAACAGAAACAAGGAAACAAGCTCCCTTCTACATTTTTACAATTAGTAGAAGAAAATAACTGTGTGGATGCATGGAAAGTGAGAAATCCACAAAAAAAGATTACACTTTTTATTCAGCAAGACACAAGGCGTGGTCAAGAATAGATATGTGCTGGATATCTACAATAATGATAAATGGCATATTAAAAGTGGAGATTCTGCCAGCAACTTTTGCAGATCATAATCCGGTTATACTTGTAATACAAGATACCCCCCCAAAAACAGATGAACATTGAATACTTCCATTTTAAAGAATGACAAATTCTTAAGAGAATCCAAAAGAGAATTTCAAATGTTCTTTGAACAAAATATCCAATCAGAAATTTCCATCAGGACTGTATGGGATGCATTTAAAGCTTCTGCTAGAGGATGGATGATCGGCACATGTCAGGAAGCAGAGGTCAGAAAAATATCTCCAAATTCAAGATCAGATTTAAAAACAGGAAGAAAAGATTAAACAAGATCCATCAACTGAACAGATAAAAGCTAAGCTAAAACTTTTACAACATCAAATGAATTGCTTATTAACACAGGAAACAGCAAAAAATAATGTATGCTAAACAAAACTATTTTGAAAATGCCAATAAACCAACCAGATGACTAGCTAACAAATTATGCAAGGAAAGGGAGAAAAGGCATATAAAGATACTTAGAGATGACTTGAGAGAAGAGAGAAATACACTCAAGGTCTTGAAAAAAATTGTTGAATCATTTTATGAAAAGTTATATTTGAAAAAAGAAGCAATACATGAACACATTAAAAATATTTCAAAATCCATAAAATTAAAAAAATCACAGAAGATCAAAGGAAAATACTAAATGATCCAATATCCTTTGCTGAAATCACAGAAGCGCTGAAAAAACAAAAAAGGCAAAATCTTCAGGTCCTGATGGACGCTTCCTGCAGAATTTTATCAGTCATTCGAAGATCAATTGACACTGCCACTAAAAGCTGTTATTCAAAATATAACAATTGAAGGGAAAATCCCAGTGTCTTGGAACGAAGCCTTGATAACACTGATACATAAGCAAAACTCAGATGAGAAAGAAATTAAGCATTATCGACCAATTTCCTTGTTAAATGTGGATTATAAAACTTATGCATCTATTTTAGCTGCAAGAATGAAAAGAATTCTCTCTCAAACTATTCAAAGAGATCAAGTAGGCTTTCTTCCCAAAAGACATATCAGAAATAACGTAACAATGATGTTGAATGTAATAGAATATTTTGAAGCGTATCCAGAAAAACAAATGGCTTTAATTTTTTTAGATGCAGAAAAAACTTTCGATAATGTTAGTTGGAACTTTATGCTTGAGCTACTTTTAAAATCTGAATCTGGCAATGAATTTTACACAATGATTAAAGCAATCTATACTAAACAACAAGCTAAGGTCCTTCTTAACGGAGACTTATCATGAAATATTGAGATACAAAAAGGAACCAGACAAGGATGTCCCCTTTCACCTCTGTTGTTTATTTTTGATCTTGAGATTTTAAATGACACCATTAGAGCGGATGCACAAATTAAAGGCCTAAAAATAAGAGTAGAAGAATATAAACTCCAAACTTTTGCTGATGATCTAGTATTTCTCTTAGAGAATCCATTGTCTTCCATTAAACAATTGATAGTCTCCCTACAAGTGTATGGTGAAGTGGCAGGACTGAAAATCAACTGTAAAAAACCAAAAATACTTGTTAAAAATATGACCAAACCTCAAGCACATCAGCTACAAGAACTATTAGGCCTGGAAATTCAAAAGAAGATAATATATTTAGGAATAAATATAACGAACAGATGCAGTTCTTTGATGGAAAACAACTATACATGGTTGACAATACATGGTCAAGATTCTATAAGTGGCTTGAAGACTATAGCAAATAAATTATACAGACGTTCAAAACTCTTTAAGGACATACAAAGTATAACTTCAATATATTTGCAAGAGATATGCATAATGATATATGGTAAAATAGATAAGTATACCAGTTGTTAGGGAGGAGTTTGTTAAACAAGAATCTGTAAGAATATTTTTTCCCTCGTACATGTTTGTTTTGTCTAAAAAATGCCATTAAAAAAACAGTTACAGATGTTACAACAGTGTACTGGTGACATCCCAGCCCAAAGCTCCATATCAGCTGGGCGAGGGGGTGCATATGGATGTTAAATAATGTTGGATAGAGGAGTGCTCCTTGGGAGACTGGCACACCAAAAGATGATGCGTTGAAACCCTCTCCTAAATTACCACCCTTTGTCCCTGACCGTGGAGGAATGAGACAAACCATTTTAAGGCTTTGGAAATCTTTCCCGCAGTCCCAATGCGGGATTGTAAAGGAGCCACAATGATAGGGTGACCATATTTTGAAAAGCAAAAAAGAGGACATATTTCCAAACTGAATACTTCAAATAAGTGATCCCTGTGACAAATCTAATTTTAAATACCCCTAAGCTGTTACTAACTAGGAATATTCCTAACCTTCCAACCCCAAAAGAGGACATTTTCATCAGGTTGTTGTTTTTTTTTTACAAAGAGCCCAAAAGAGGATGGACACCAAAAAAAGAGGACATGGCCTCTAAAAAGAGGACATCTGGTAATCCTACACAATGATGAAGGAAAAGACAACTGTGGCCAGGTGTGGCGGGTGCTGAGCGCTGGCAGCATTTGGGCTCCTGCCCCATCCTCTTTTTCCTACACCTCTTCCCTCCTCCTCCTCCTAGTTACTGTGAGAGAATGAGAAGGCTGGCCAGGGAAGGTGGGTGTTGAGTGGCCATGGTGTGTGGACCCCAAAACGTCTTGTGCTCTAATCTGCTACTGGACTCAAATCTAGATATGCTAAGTTACTAAACAATTAAAAAGATGTATTTTATTTTGTTAAACAGTGAAATAAGCTTAGGCTTGATACCAAGGTGCTTCAACACACACTAAATAAAGCACTTTCAATGCACTTTGCAACTGGATTTTACTGTATGAGATGGCAAGATCCACTTGCAAACAGTCACTGAAGTGGATTGAAATGGCATTATTTAGCATGTGTGAAAGCCCCCTAAACACTGCATGTAATTCACTCCCCCCCCCATATCTGTTTTTTCCCAAGGGGAAAAATGTTTTTCTCCACATCCTCAAAACTGTACAACTCTTGCTTCTATGTGGTAAGCTAGTCTAAGGATGAAGACTGGGATTCTAAGCAGTAGGGAGAAGGTATGTCTGTAAATAAAATAGGTATTCAGATACAATAATCATAATGGCTTTACAATTGATAAATATTAGTTCAGTTCGGCTAGTTCAGCACGCAGCAAAGCACAAGATTAAAGTAGTTCTCTTTGGGAGTCATCCTGAGGATGGGCCCAGTTTCTGTCAACAACAATTATCTGAATGATTTCCTTGGCTAGGGAGGAAGAAGAAGAAGAGGAGATTGGATTGATACCCCGCCCTTCACTACCCAAGGGAGTCCCAGAGCGGCTTACAAACTCCTTTCCCTCCCCCTCCCCACAACAGCCACCCTGTGAGGTGGGTGGGGCTGAGAGAGCTCTTGACAGAAACGGCTCTTTTTCAAGAACAGCTCTTATCAGAACTACGGCTTGCCCAAGGTCATCCAGCCAGGTGCAAGTGGAGGAGTGGGGAATCAAACCCGGTTCTCCCAGATTAGAGTCCGTGCACTTAACCACTACACCAAACTGGCTCTCTATGTGGTAAGCTAGGAAGGAGAACTTTCCTCTTTGGTCAGTCCGCGTGTCGGTCTGGTAGATTTAAGAGGGCCACCTGAATCTATCCAGAGGGCCACCTGTAGTTCAGTCCCCAGAAGGATTGATGCATGTGAGGAAAGGCACTACAGAGGAGATCCAGTTTTTCTGCCTGATACGCATCCCCTGCAGGGGCCAGAGAGCGCTTGACTCCAAGAACATCTAGCTCTGCCCTTTCTTCCCTGGAAGTGAGAAGAAGGCATTAAAACCACCTGAGCAGAGAAAACAGCATGCTAACCTATATATTTAATTACAAAACTGTTGTTCAAGAAAAATCCACCGCATCCAGGCTCCACTCGGCTTGCGCAAAAAGAAGCAAGCCAGGTGGGTGTGGGACTCGGCTCCCAGGAAATTCCAGCAAACCAGCTGAACCAGAAGGCAGTGTTCCTAGTCTAGGTCCATAAGAACATAAGAGACGCCAATGTTGGATCAGGCCAAAGGCCCATCCAGTCCAACACTCTGCCACACAGTGGCCAAAAATACCAGGTGCCATCAGGAGGTCCACCAGTGGGGCCAGGACATTAGAAGCCCTCCCACTGTTGGCCCCCCCAAGCACCAGTCCAGGCTCGCAAAATGCTGAAAAAGTAGCAAGAACCATACAAGCGGGAAAGAAAAATGCTGCTCTGGTCCAGAGAAGAGGCATTCAAGCCTTGATAAAAATGAATTGTTATCAGCTGAATCCTGAATAAGCCAGTTCACTGAAGCGCCAGACTATGCTGGCGGAGAAGCAGCTGGTTGAAGCCTTTCCATTACTTTCTAACCTGCTGCTACCTTCTCTCGGAGTCTTTTCCTAGCTTACTTCCCAGGGGTGTGGTAAAGAGTGTGGTACAATAAGAAGATGCCAGTGACTGGAACAAAGGTTTTCCCTTCTGGCTCTACTCACTTGGTTATCTTTCTGGAAATCTGAAGAGCATTCCTTGTGACACTATTATTGCTTCACCCAAAGGTCTGGAAAACTTTTAAGAGAAGTCCGTCCACCAAGTTTAGGACAGATCTGAATTTAGAAAGGTTTTGAAGAGCCACAAACGTCCTGGCCACTTTCAGGAGCCTGCAGCAGACCAACAAACAGGGCCACACCTCCGGGATCCAGGCTGGGAACCACCGTCGTCCTCGACCCAGATTCAAGGCACCTTGAGACCCACCCGGGCAAAAACGTGCCCAAGAAACCAAGTGGGGCGCTATCGTCGGGCCAGCGGTGCTGTTTGTCGGTAGGGGCCCCCAGTTTGGCCTCGGGCCAGGTTCTCCATAGGGCCAGCCAGGCGCCCGACAGGGGGAGAGACTGCAAGGCCAGCAGGAGACGGGGCCTTCTCCACAGTGGCCCCCCTCCCTAGCCACAGAGGCTCGTCGCGGGACTTTCCGAGATGCCTTTCCCCAGCACGACCCCCGGGGCACGCCCCCGCCCCTGCTCACCGGTGATCAGCACCGTCTTGCCGCGCAAGCTCGTCTCGTTGCGGCACTTGGGGCCCCGCAGGAAGTTGTAGTAGAGCCACACGTAGAGGCCCGTCAGCAGCGCCAGCCCGCTCAGCACCATCACCGCCATGCCTGCCTGCCTCTCTGCCTCTGCCCGCCGCCCTCGCTCGCTCGCTGGCTCTCAGCGCCGTCTGCAGGCCCCGCCTGCCCCGCGCAGGGAATCGCAAGGCTGCGCCCTCCCTGCGGCCGGCGGCTAATCGCGGGGCTGCAGTCAGAGTCACATCCGGGCGGGCTCCGCGTCTGCGGGCCGACGATCAGGCGCCCTTTGAGCTTTTGCGCTCCGGGCGGCTCCGGGGAAGCATCAACGCACGACCCCGCGGAAGCCGAGGAAGAAGCCAGCCCCCCCCCCCGCTTGCCGGTAAGGGCGCCCGAAGCCGCCTTGGGGAGACCCGCAGCAGAGCAGGCGACAGTGCGGAAGGGGGACAGAAGCGCGATGATGTGAGTGCGGGGGGGGGGGGGAGAGAAGCAAGACTGTGACCAACGCTCCCTCTAAGCTGTGGAGTCTTGTGAGCAAAAATTCTCCTTTGTGAGCTGCTGGCATTAAAGTTGTGAGCGAGCGATTTGGCTGCTGCATACATTACTTGGCTCTGGAGCCCTCCTTCCTGAGCGAAGACAAAAATGTGTGCGCCGGAGGCTAAAAAACTGTGAGCTAGCTCACACTCACTCAGCTTAGAGGGAACAGTGACTGTGACAGTGGGCAGGTTGGGGCTTTCCATTCCTCCCAAAGTGCATCGTTTTATCTGCCCTTGGCTGCTGCGTGGAGTCTTGCCACTGTAATTGCTCCTCCCCCAGTGGATTAGTAAACCTGCCCCTGCTGTTTTGGAGCGTCAACCAGGGTGCCAGCCAGGACCACATTATCTCAGTAGGACATTGACCTATTAAGAGTTGCCAACTATGAGAGTAAAATGGAGCGCTCCCGGGCCGAGGAAGGAAGGCTGTGAGCATCGGTTGCTGCGAGCCACCTTGGATAGATCCGCCCTCTTCGTGCCTTACTTTTTAGAGATTCCCAAGGTAGTTGGCTGCTGGAAACAGAATGGCCTTTGACATGATCCCACAACACAGCTCTCAGGGACAAGGATGGGGATTCCAAGCGAGGCAGCGCGGTACACTTAGTCTCGGAGGTAAGTTCGCTTGGCTTTTGGTGGGAGGCATGAATGCCCCCTCCTCCCCCAAGCCTCTGCCCATATGCCACTAAAGAGCCAGCTAGCACAAGGAAGGAAGCAGGGTCTTTCTATCCCGTGCCAGCCTGAGACACACACAGGATGCTGTGAGGCACTGGGTAATGACTGTTTTATAGCACACAGAAGAAGAGACTGGATTTATACCCCCGCCCTTCATTTGGAGTCTCAGAGCAGCTTACAATCTCCTTCCCTTCCTCTCCCCCCAACAGACACCCTGTGACGGAGGTGGGGCTGAGAGAGCTGTGACTGACCCAAGGTCTCCCACCTGGCTGCATGTGGAGGAGTGGGGAATCAAACATAGTTCTAAACTTCGAGTCCTCCGCTCTTAACCACTACACCAAACTGTGTTTAGTGAAGTGAATCATGGGGCCTGGTAATCATGGTAGCTCAGCCCCGCCCCCCCCCGCCCCCGACAATCAGGAACCCTCAAGAAGTTGCATTCAACTTCTTTGGTCACTTCTCTAGCAAAGAGTGCGGTGACTGTGCTTACTCACATTAATCTTTTGCTTTCAGCCCACAAGTTCTTTTAACAGAAATCTGTCCTCTTTGGTACTCGGCCACACCATCGTCTCTGGGGAAGCAGACGAAGAGAAGAAGAGTTTGGATTTATACCCCGCCCTTCACTCGGAGTCTCAGAGCGGCTTACAAACTCCTCTCCCTTCCCCTCCCCACAACAGACACCCTGTGAGGTAGGTGGGGCTGAGAGAGAAGAGATTGGATTTATACCCCGCCCTTCACTACCCAAAGGAGTCTCAGAGTGTCTTGCAAACTCCTTTTTCTCCCCGTCCCCACAACAGACACCCTGTGAGGTAGGTGGGGCTGAGAGAGCTCTTTCAAGAACTGCCCTTTCAAGGACAGCTCGTTAGAACTATGGCTTGCCCAAGGTCATCCAGCAGGTGCATGTGGAGGAGTGGGGACTCAAACCCGGTTCTCCCAGATTAGAGTCCGCACACTTAACCACTACACCAAACTGGCTCATTCTTCTGTCTCATTCTTTGAGCTCAGAGAGACAACTCCCAGGAGAAGCAAGACTGTGACACTGGGCAGGCTGAGGCTTTCCATTATACCCAAGTACCATCATTTTGTCTGCCCTCCACTGCTTGGTGGCGTCTTGCCACTGTGCCTGCTGCCCCCCCCCCAAAAAAAATCCGGTTAATAAACTTACCTGCAACTTCCTTGAGATTTTGGATCGCCGGCCTTAGATGCTTAGATAAACCAATGGATGACAGACCAATAGAGAGTTGCCGGCTACAAGTAAAATGGAACTCTGCTGAGCAGAGCAAGGCCAGGTGTCTGTCAAAAGTGAAGCCTGGGCCCCGGTAACTATTACCAGTGCCTATGGTAGCTCAGGGGTCAAAGAGATTTGTGCAAATGGTGGGGGGGGGGGGGCAGGGAGAGTTCAGACCAGTTTCCTGGCTGGCACATTCCCTCTGCCTTTGGGCTACACACTGAGATAATGTGGTCCTGGCTGGCACCCTGGACAACGTCCATAAACAGGGCTGTTCCCACAGTAAACGAAAGAGTCACTACTCAGCACATCCACCCACGATACAGAAGGAACACTGGCTGCAGCCCAGAAGCCAGTAATAAAAAAAAGGCTCCCAACAGCAAGCAGAAGGCATGCCAAAATCCAGGCGGGCTGGAAACACACCACAACACAGACAAAGTAAAACTGAGGACTTGTTTGTAATAATGTTGTTTGTTGGTCTAAGGGGGGGTAACATAATTTGAACACGTAAATGTGATGGGCGTTTGTGCACAACCGCCATACAAAATCTTGAGCTAGGGGCATGGTTATGGGGAACTGGGCCTCGATCGTCTTCAGTCTCCAAACACTCTCCCCATTTTGCCTTACGGCGGCAGAGGCATAGCCTGGTGCCTACCCGGTAACGGCTTCCTCCAAATGAGCCTAGGAGTGCTACGAATGACTCATTTCCTCCCTGCTGGCGAGCTCCAAACGCCACTGTGACACCCTGATTCCCTACAGCCCCCCCCCCCCCCCCCCGACAACCAGGAACCCTCAAGAAGCTGAACTCCACTGATGCACCGCTCTGGCTTCTCCTCTTTGTTATCACCTCTCGCTGCACGGCAACTGCATTGGCTCACATTAATCCGTTGCTTTCCTCAGCTGTCAAAAATTCAGGCTGCAACTTCTTTATACAGATCTGTCCTCCCTTTGGCACTCTGCCCCCACTGTCATCTCTGGGGAAGCAGATGAATGCCCTTGCCCCAATCAGCCATCGTATGGAATGGAAGGAAGTCTTCTGTCTCACTCTTTGGGCTCACAGAGACCACTGCCAGGAGGGCAGAAAACCGCATTTTTTCCGGCAGTGGGAGCGCGGAAGAGGGAGCGTCCATCTGTTGAAGCAACTTTACACAGATTCACAATACTGGTCTGCTGGAGATGCCCAAGGTCGCCTGTAGACAAAAGCTCATGCTCTAAGTTCGGGCACCACTGGGGTGAAGTCACAGGAGAGAGGGAGCCTGGGCCTCTGGGGCAGCCAAGGAGAGCAAAATGAAAGAATGGTGCAGGCCTGGCCCAGCGGCGTGATTTTTAAAATCGTAGCATGTGAGTTTATTATTAATACAGACTTAATGCCACTGGAACAGTCATAAAATCTTAAAGGATTTCATACAAAAAAAAGAAGTTAAGAACGTCCAGATCAGAAATGAGTATTAAGACCATTTAAAACTCGGCAGCTCTCACCTCCGGGGCCGAGCGAGTGGTGGCAGCGGAACGGTGGGCGGGGCTTTCCCGCAGGCAAGGCCTGTGCCGTCCAGTCCTGCTCCGCAATGCCGAAGCAGGGGAAAGGGCAGCCTCTCTCCGGTCCCCAGAACTTAAATCTTCACCTGGTGAAGAAGCTATTTGGTGCCTGTCCACATGGCAGCACACAGGAGATGGAGGAGCTTTGGAGGGCGGAGGCACAAGCGGGGATCTGCCTCCGGGAATACGCCCCAGGGGATGGGGGCTTTTTTTCGTAGCTGAGGCAGGGCCAGCCCGAGGTCTGGACAGACAGGCAGAAACCAGCGAGTGACAGATTTTGTTGTTTTATATACAGAATACAGGAAAAAAGTTTCTGTAAAGCCTAAAACATTGCAATTACTTCTGTACATCAGAACTTAGGAATGTGGCTGGGGGGGGGGGAGGGAAGGCGTTGGAACAAAAGGACAAAAACAGGCTTACGACAAAGAAACGCTTTGCTACAATAGACAACCGGAGGCAACGTCATACCAACATGTAGCACTGTACACAGCTTAAAAAACACGGAACAATGCCGTCACTGGATGTATTTACACAGAACCCCAAATACTTCTCCTTATTATCCCGAATGAAAGAGAGGATGGACGTCAGAAACATAAGACCTCTGTTCTCGCTGCCCACAATCCACCGAGTGCAACTGTAGCAGGGAGGGGAGGGGGACACCAGAGGCAGGGGGGAGGGGGAGATACTGGCAGGAGAATAGCACGTCTTTACATTAAATAAAACAGTGATAATTGTATAGAGATTTTGCTGTATGAAAACTGTATTTCTCTCTTTTTTCTTTAATATAAAACTATTGTCACTGGCACAAAATAGAACAAGTTTTTGATTATTTTTACAACGGCACGGGAGCGCTCTGGCCAGGCAACATCCACGAGCCAGCTGCTCTCGCCGGCACCGCCCAGCGTGGGGCGCCCCCCCAATGCGCTGCAGTTTCCTTTTTGTTTTTAAATGAAATGTATAGTACAAATATATGTGCAAATGCCCCTAAAACTTGAGCAAACAATTTTTTTAAAAAAAAGTAAAAGTTCTTCACTTCATGCAAAGGGCGGCAACAAGTCTTGTGGCCCACGTAGGCAAAAGGGGGGGGGGGAAAGATATCCAGAAGACATGGTTTGCGAGTCAACGGGTTTTGCCTGGGTCCGGAGGGAGGGGCCTCTCCCCTCCCCACCCCTAGGGCACCGAATTGGAGCGCAGCACGGGGACCTGGTGGGGCTTGAGGGACAGCTTCTCGGCCAAGTCTGTGTCTTGTGCTAAGGCGGCATCCCCTTTGGGCTGTTTGGTCGCAAACTCCGTGATGCTGAAGACGAACTGCAGGCAGCCCAGCTTGATGTAGCTGCCGTGGTGCAGGAGGGCCGTCCCCTCCCAGCCAGCCCCGCTGCCCCCGATCAAGCTGGAGCTGCTGGCTTTGCAGCTGCAGGGCTTCCGGAGCGGGCCTTGCGCCTGGGACCTCATCACGGCCGCCTCTTCGCTTGGCTGCTGCTGTTGCTGCTGCTGTTGCTCCTCCTCCTGTTTCCGGTTCTTGTGGCGCTCTGGAAAGAGAAGACACGGATGAGAACAGGACAAGGGTGGGGCTGAGAACCGCCCAGACTCTCTAGGATGAGCGTGACCGGATGTTTTATTCTGGATCTGCTAGTCATGGGAAGGAGCAAGGACACCGAGCCGGTGACGTGGGCTTCCTACAGGGGGGAAATAAGGAACAGGAAACGGCAGCACTTGGAGGCCACACAAAGTGGAGCTGGCAAAAAGGGCGGGCTTGTGGGTCTGAGCACTTCCTGGCACTTTTCTCCGTGCTCCCAAGGAAATGCAGCACACAAGGCCAGATTGGGTGGGTGGGCTATCCGGTAGTTCAAAAACATTTAAAAGCTGCCCAGAGACTGCAGTGGCACCCACTCCTGGTGCAAGGAAGACTGGACAAGACACAGAGAATGACGAGACCAGAAGCACTCTCAGGCATGGTGCCCTGGGGGCCAGGTTCCGGTGAACACGAAGCTGCCACAAGCACCCCAAAGCAGAGCCCAGGCAGCCGGCCTGAAGAGGGCGTGCCAGATTTCAAGAGAGTAAACCGGCAGGACTCTGGGACAGAGGGCAGCAGTCAAGAGATGCCAGGTGCTCTCTGCAAGCTGCTCAGGTGCTGGGCACTGTGCAAGGGGCAAAAAGCTTTCTGGTGAGTGGGTTCTGGAGGCAGGCTTACATATCATGTGGTGGCGGGAACGAGCCTGGTGCTTCTCCCACCAAAGACACCATGGCACCTAGGACTTACTGATCACACTCTGCACTTTGGCAACCATACTGCTGGGAGGGGTGAGGGCCGTCTTCTCGGAGAAGTCACACGAGTACAGGACGTTGTCGACCGTCGTGCCGTGCTCACTGTAGTTGAGCAGCTCATAATGCTTGGTGTTCTGGGAAAGAGGAAAAGGAAACCCACACTGGGAAATATATCAGGAGGGTGAGGGCCACAGGACTGGGCAAGGGGCCCCCGACCCTTCTGGAGGACCCCACGGAAGAGAGACTTCACCTAACCTCCCCCGGCAGGTCCATGTGTTTAAATCCGGTTCCCTGCCTGGACTGCATCACAAGGCTTCTGTGTGCAGTGGCCCGTGGCCTGCAACTCACCTCATCGTAGAAAATGCAGGCGTGCTTGCCAGACACGTAGTTGCAATGACCATAGTTCGTAAGGCACACGTCCATGTCCGCTCCTGCCGAGGGAAAGGGTGTGGATGAGGCTCTAGGTCGTGAGCAGCTCAGGTGCAGGGAGAAGGATTGCAACTGGGAGTTGGAAAGATGCTGGGAGATAATTCAGCCACCCCACCCCACCCCTTGATGAAGGGGAAGCCCCCCCCAATTGCTAGTTAGAAGCTGCCAAGGCAACCCTCTTCCCAACTGACTTGGCAGCAGAAAGACTTGTAGCACAGTCACGTGGAGCTTCTGCAGGGCCCAGAGGGCATTCAGTGCAGGCTGGGTGACGTTAGCCACGGTCTAGTCAGGGATCCCTAGTCAGGCAGTGAGTGGGCCCTTGCCTGTCCCAATGTAGAGGGTTCTGTAGCACATGTTCACAGCGCTGCCCATGCCCAGCAGAGGGTAGAAGACAGCCCGGGCCTGCACCTCCTTCCTCTGCCCTGCAAGACAGAAAGATGACCTCAGTAGCAAGTACGCCCAAAGAGAGAGAGAAACCCACCTCAGTGGCAGCACAGAGATGCTCGTTAGATGGCAGGAGCACAACAGCCAGCCCGGCCCGCTAAGAACAAAGGGAGGAGCGGGGCAAACAGGAGGAAATCCCCCTCCCTTCACTTCTGCACCTGACCCAGTTAAGGTGGTCCGGAGCCAGAAGCAGCCTTCCACCGAGATGTCACTCGCCGGATCATGAACTGCAGCCTAACTTGGATGTCCCTCTGAATGTAGGTTGTGCCTGTGGACACCCCGCCCCCCCCAACACACACTGCATTTGACAGAACGCAACATGCAATGTGGTACTGGTGGGGAGGGGGAGAAGAGTATGCTTTTCTTTAGCTGAGATGCAGACTGTGCAAGCAGGAGCTGTGCGCCATGACCTGTTGCCAACAACTGCTTGAGGCAAGAGAACAGTGTGCACGCACAGCCCTTGGTCCTTGCTGGAGGATTTGTTTTTGGAAGGGGGGGAGGGAAGGCACGGGCCATCTTTGAAAAAAGCGGGATTCCTGTGTCCACTCTGTCTGAAACTGCCCCCCCCCCCCAGTCCTAGACGTGCCCTTATTTTGGCACCCAGTGAACCTGCGCTTGGAACACTCCCTTTAAAAATAAGAAGGGGGGCAGACTTAACCTGGTTGGAAACATTACATTTGAAGTATGTACTTTTCTCCTGTGCTTGCTAAAAGTGCTTCGAACCAAACATCCTTAGGAGGGAATAAGCTCCAGGTCTCTACCTAGCCCCCTGCCTCCAAGCACGTGACACTCCACCCTTTCTTTGCCCTTTCTGTGCAGCCCCCAAATGGAGCCCGGGAGGGAGCCAGCCGTTCAGGGGAGCGGGAAAGGAAACAGCCCCAGCCAGGCTCCCTTTAGCTTGCCAATCCAGCCTGATGCCGAACTTAGTGCAGACTCCCGATCAGCATAGCCCGCTGCGATCCGCCGGCCTCAGCCTCCCCGGCAGCCGGGATTACAGGAGAAGGGAAATTGGCAAAGAGGAAAGCCAAGCTGCTGAATGATGCCGGGAGAAAGTCTAGGAGTGGGGCTGATGCTCCCAAATCCCACTTGGTTTCTCATCGCCATCATTTGCTCTGGAGGATCAGGGCAGTGGCTGAGAACGTGGCTCGACCGAATATGCTTGCATTCCTCCCTGCCCCCAGAGTATGCGAGGTGGCAGATGCTGCACAGACCCAACACCCGAGAGCAGTGGAAGATGCCAAAGTACTGCTTGCACCTACCTTCAGCCTGACCGCCCACAGGGCTGGGCTGGGCAGCGGCACCAACACTGCCCGTGAGGGGCTGAACTTTGGAAGCAAAGAGCTGATGGATTCTCTGCAAGGCCAGGAACTTGATCAGCTTCTCATCCAGCATGCTAATCTCAATCTCTGTTGAGAGAAAAGGAGGCTGCTAAGGGAGGGGGGCTTGCAACTGCCGAGTACACCTCTCCTGTCTACCAGAAGCAAAGCATCTAGTCCCAGAGCAAAGGCCACTCCCACAGCAGGAAACAGCAGCAGCAAACATAATCAGACAGGATCAGCTGTCAGCACAAACATGAGGAACAAGGTATTTCCATTTCCCCCTCTGTGTATCACATCTTGCAGAAACTGCCCTTGGCTTTTTTTTGGTAAAGGAATGGCAAGGGACAGGAGACTGCAGTGGGTCAGTCCGCCTGCCTCAAGCCAATGGCAACTGCAGCATTCCCGGAGGAGGCGCACTGACCAAGCTTGGGAGCAGAAATGTGAAGGCTCAGGGGCAAAGAATGGGAAAATTCTGAAAAAGACTCCCCTTCCCCAAGTCTTTGTCAATGGGAAAAAATTAGGAAATTTTTGAGGAGCACTAAAAAACCTGCTCCGAATTATTCTTTTGGAATGAGATAAATGATTCTTAAAACACAGTTTTTCTCACTCTGTTCAACTTGTCCAGTAGAACAATTGGGAAGTTTTCAGGGACCACTGAAAAACTCCTTTTTCAACTGTCTCTTTTTGGAGTGAAGTTTTTTTTAAGGCAAGGTTTTACTCAAAGTGCACAGCATGGAAAAATTTATGCAAGAAAACCTACAGCATTAAATAATGGTATGTATCCTGAATGATATGTATACTGAAGACATACAGAACTTATTTTCAACAATATGTTTACTATTTAAACATTAATTCTGGCAACAATACTTTTTTATCACTACAGAATCTGTTTCTACCCTAAATTTTAACACCCCCCCCCCAATCTTTCAGATAACTAAGATTAAAGATACATGGGCTAAGGTCACATAGGGTGCAGCAGTTTGCAACTCTCATCTATTGGGTATGTTTGCAATTCCTTATGGAAAACTAAGAAATTTATGCTGCTAAATTCCATAAACATGGAAAATAGTATAATTTCAATTAGTAAAATAAATTTTCGGTTGATAGTGTTTTCCAATACATATTTTCCAATTTCTCAAAATTTCTGGGTTTTGTCAAAAAAACAGCACCCCTCACCCCCAGACTTAAAAATATTTGGAAATTTTACATCTTTGCTTAGGAGAAACTGGGTGCTTAAAGCCAGCCCACACTAGGAAGAGATCATTTCGGGTCACATGGTCACAGCTGTCATGGCAGCGAGCAAGATCAACATGTGAGTGCTTGGCAGCCTGCGGAGCGGCACATCCTTTTTTGGGAACACGCAACAGAAAGAAGCTGGGACTCACCTCCACTTCCATCCATTAATGCTTTCAGGGAACAGGTGAGATCCAGTGGGGTTGCAGAACTGGGAGGCAGCACTGAGGATACCGATAAAACGCTTGGGCTGATCTTGCCATCTGGAGAAGGAAGGTGAGAAAACCCGAAGTGGTCACCTTATTGCTGCTTTCCCTAAAGAGGGCTGGGCCATTTCTACACTGCCCCACAGCTGGTTCGCAAAGAGCTTTATGGTGACAGTTGTTACAGCAGCCCTAGAGCATCCAATGAACCCCTCAAACCCACCAATGGAGTGGGCCCCTACCACTGCTTAAAATCCAAGTCTTTTCTAGCACAAAAACACCATCTGATCCACTGTGTCTAGCGTCAACTGAGCTCCTGGAATCATTCCTTCTGGATAGAGCAAACTAATTCATTTTTATACCTGCTGTTAAAGTATTATTCAGGCTTTGCAATGGTGCCTCTTAGTAATTTAGTACAGCCCTGAAAGCCAAACTCGGGTGCCTGTTCCAGGAAATAAGGTATGAGAGAGGTTTGTAAAACAGAAGAGATAAAAGTTAGTGTTAGCAGGCCCATGGAATAGTAGCCATAGGAGGGGGAAGGGAAACCTGGCACCAAGATGCTCAACTCCCCTTGCCAAATCATACCCCTCTGCTTTCTGAGCCTTCAGTGGATACTGCCATGCTGGTAAGAGTACGCACACCTGGCCTATGAAGATCAGAAGAGCCCTGCTAAAGCAGACCTATGGACCATCAGGGCCAGCACCTTGCCCCCCCCCCCCCAATAATGGCCAGATTTATTTTATTGAATATATTTTAAGCCTGCCTTCTTCTCCAAGGTAGAAAACAAACTTTCTATAACCATATAAATCTTAACACAACTAAAATTGCCAGCAAAACCTTTTTTTGGTGAGTATTTGTGCGTATGTATGCATGCATGCGTGCCTGGAAGTCATGGTTGACTTCTGGTGACCCATAGTGGGGCTTGGACGCTTCAGAGAGGTGGCTTGCTATTGCCTGCCTCTGAGTCCTGGCCCTGGTATTCCTTGGAGGTCTCCCTTCAAAGTACTTGCCTAGGTCGGCCCTGCTTAGAAGAAGAGTTGAATTTATACCCCACCCTTCACTCAGAGTGGCTTACAATCTCCTTCCCTTCCTCTCCCCACCACAGACACCCTGTAAGGTAGGTGGGGCTGAGAGAGCTCTGTGAGAACTGCTCTTGAGAGAACATCTCTGAGAGAACTGTGACTGACCCAAGGTCACCCAGCTGGCTGCATGTGAAGGAGTGGGGAATCAAACCTGGTTCTCCAGATTAGAGTCCGCTGCTCTTAACCACTATACCAAACTGGCTTCTGAGATCTGACGAGATCGGGCTTTCCTGGGCTGTCTAGGTCAGGGCAGCAAAAACTTTATAAATGACATCCGCAAGAGATCCCTGCCCCTAAGAACCGAGAGAGTACAAAAAGTATCAGGAGACACCAAAGGCTCTCTTAAAGACGCTTGGTGAGTAGCCGTGTTGGTCGGCAGTAGAATGGCAAGCTCAAGCCCACTAGCCCCTTGTGATTTCCAGGGTATAAACTTGGAAGAGTCAAGAGCTCCCTTTGTCTGTTGTGATGAAGGAAGCTTTGGAAAATCTTCTGTATCTGAAGAAGTGAGCAGTGACTCAGGAAAGCTCCTACCCTGCCAAAAATTCTGTTAAGACTTTAAGGTGCTATTGGACTCTTGCTCTTTTCTACTGCTACAGACAGACACAGCTACCCATCTTCAGTTAAAGGCCAGACTGCTGTCTGTGACTCCTTTTTCAGAAAGCCTCCTTTGGAAGATCCCAAGCAGAGCATAGAGGCCAAAGCTTCTTCCTGTAGCCCCCCCAGCAACTGGCTATCTATTTAGCCAGCGGCATACCATTGAGGGAACCCCTCTGGCATGAATCCGTCTAGTCCCCTTTCCTTTCCTTTATTGTTATGCTCCTCTGACCAAAGCTCTTGAGTGGTCAATACAAATACAAGCTAAAATACGAAACTGTAAACATTAAACAGCATGGTCAATTAAAAGCCCTGTCTGTAACGGCATATGGATCTAATCCCCTTTTAAAGCTAATTAAGCTGGGTTTCACTGCCGTCTCCTGTGGCCGCAAGGTGTAGCCCACTAGCTCTTCCACTCAGTGAAGTTCCAATCCCAGGTGGCTTTTGTCCATGTTGGTCCCAAGATCCCCAAAGCACAGCCTTTTCAGTAGTCAAAACGGACCCCACTTTCACCAGCTAATAGGACAAACTCTGTACATTCCACAAGTGAATTATTCATTGTGCCCTCCTCCTGCCTATCCTGAATCTATTTTTTTTATATTTATAACCCACTTCTCATGCGAATAGGGATCAAAGCAGTTTATAACATGTTCTCACTTTCATTTTTATCCTCACCACTACCACTGTCTGTTTATAGCTAATGGCCAAATGGTGTTCAACAACCACCCTGTGAAAGTGTGCAACTGGGCCAAGGTCACCCAGCAAGCTTCTATGGCAGAAGTGGGGATTTGAACCTTCCAGATCCAACCTTCAAACATTCTGAAGCTGTAATAGTAGAAAAAACTTTTTATGCCACCCATACATTTATGAGCCTCTATTATGCACTGATGAGGAAAAGAGGTTGAGGGCAAGTGAACCTAGGCCTGGTGAACAAAGAAGAGCAGCTCCCCATTACTGGGGAAATGGTGCTTCTATGGCCTCATTCGGTGCATTTGTATCCTGGGGTTTTTTTTGGCTGTTTCCCTAGAATGCAGTATTAAAACTGCAGTTTCTCTCCAACTGGGGCCCATGTGTCCTTTGTAAGGAAAGAACACAATCTCTACCCATGCTCTTCATGGCTAACGTTTAAGCGGCATCCTCCCCACTTTCTAGGAATGGGAGCAGGGACAGAAGGGAGGAACTAGCCTCCAGTTTCAAGAAGCAGGGTCTTGTATTGCCACCACTGCCTGTAGTCACTGAACTTCCAGATAATCTCGGAGTGGAAACAGATTGACTGGCTGCTAGGATCCTATCGCCCAAACCTAGGAACTCTGATTGGCCACACGGCTCCATGGCAGTATATCCATGATGCAGTCACCCTAGTTGCTTCAGGTTTAAAGTGGAACTGATTTGTCACTTAATTTTCCAATGCAAAGGATTCCACCGTAGAGACTTGGAAATGACACTGGTGTCCACAGAGAATGACAGCAAATGGATTTCCACTAGTTGAGTTACATGTGATGCTGGTCTTTTTCCATTTCTGTAAGCAGCTCTGAATTTTTCCAAGCCCCTTCCCCAGCCATTCCCAGAATTTTCCTGCAGCCTCGTGCACAAAGCATCTTCCAACCAAGGGATGGAACAGATTAGAACTTGGGCCAGGGTCTCTGGACTTGTGACCCAAGAGAATAAGCTACATGTCACCTTGCATGGATAAAACAAGCCAGTTTGGTGTCGTGGTTAAGAGCTGCAGTGTCCAATCTGGAGAACCGGGTTTGATTTCCCACTCCTCTATATGCAGCTAGCTGGGTGACCTTGGGTCAGTCACAGTTATCTCAGAGATGTTCTCTCAAGAGCAGTTCTCTCAGAGCTCTCTCAGCCCCACCTACCTCACAGGGTGTCGGGGGGGGGGGAAGGAAAGGAGATTGTTAGCTGCTCTGAGACTCCAAGTGAAGAGCGGGGTATAAATCCAATCTCCTCTTCCTTCTTTATTTAAAACATGCTTATAAAGCACAGCTGATATGGTTCTCACTGTGTTGTTTTGACAACACAAGAGGATGGCAGCCTCTATGGGGCAGCTGTGACGTTTTGCTAAGCTCTCTGGCACATGGTGGGCACTGGTGAGGGAGGAGGGGAGGACTTTGACCTGCCTAAATCCTTGGGTCTGAGATCTGTGGGTCTGAGATCTGCTGGGACAGGGTACCTGAGTATTCTCCACAGTGGCCACATGAGAACATAAGAGAAGCCATGCTGGATCAGGCTAATGGCCCATCCAGTCCAACACTTTGTGTCACACAGTGGCCAAAGCCCAGGTGCCATCTGGAGGTCCACCAGTGGGGCCAGAACTCCAGTAGCCCTCCCACTGTTGCCCCCCCCCCCAAGAATACAGAGCATGACTGCTCCAGACACAGTGTTCTCTCTATACCTTGTGGCTAACAGCCACTCATAGACCTCTGCTCCATATGTTTATCCAGTCCCCTCTCGAAGCTGCCTACGCTTGTAGACATGCTACAACAAGTTAGACCACAAAGGGGGCGGTGGAGCATACTCCCCTTTGCAGAAGAACATGCATAGGGCTGGTGCCCCAACCAGATTCTGGATGCACGAACACCGTAGAACCAAAGCAGAAGACAAAACAAACCATCAACTGGGCACCCACTGTAACAGTGGGACTGATCAAAGCTCCCCCGACAAGCAGCAGGTGAGGGCTGCCCTTAATACAACTCTGAACACTTTCAAGCTGCCAAAGGAAAAATGGAATGGAATTCCGGATAAGAAAATATAAACAGCAGACGAAGATGCCTTATAGAAGTTGGATCCCAGTTGCCAGTGAGAAAGAGAAAGGTCTTCCCTGGCATGTACTGCCAGACTGCACCCAAGGTCTTACGCATACAGAGCGGGTGCTCTGACCCACAGCTCTTCCCTGAAAGATTCCTAGAGTGCTCTCCTTGTCACCCCCCATGCTCAGCAGGAGGGTAGCCCTGCCCACACTCAGGAATTCTCCTGAATGCTCCAGTGTTCCACTGACCCCCCTGCTCACCTGGAGGTGGTGCTGGGGAGCAAAATCCGTGAGCAGCTCCGACAGCCGAGATCCCGTCACCCACGGTCGCCTGGGGAGGAGTGAGTGCCCGGGTGGCCGTCAGGGGAGAATCCATGGCCCCCAAGTCTGTGGCCAGCAAAGGCCCAATCTGTGTCTGTGCGTTCTTCCTCTGCAAAGTGCTGGCTGCTTCCAGGCTGGTGCAAGAGCTCAGGATGGAAGCTGGCATGCCGGCAACTGGCACGGAACTCCTATGCACACAAGACACAGGCCCCACCGCATTCTCAGTCTTTACAACACCTCCTGCTATGTGATTGAGGAGCCCGCCAGCCGCAGGAGGCGTGGAGGGCCTGGGCCACGGCTGCCGATGAGACAGGCCAGGAGAGATCACGCTGCCTTGCCCGCTTAGCCTCGGAGAGTCAGTCAAGTGTGCTGTGGAGTCACTGTAGAAATGCGGGCCATTGACTTTCACCTCTGAGGCAGAGCTGGGGCCATTGGATGTTCCGCAAGGCGATGCCTTCTTGGGCCGGTCCGGACACGAGGGGTAGTGGGCATCCTCCTGCAGAGTGCCCAGGGAGTTCTGAGTGGCTAGCCCAGGGCCACAGGATGCTGGGTAGATGGAAGGGACATTTGCCTTGTCAGCTGCCTGGTACGGACCGGCGAGGGAGCCGTCGGTCACGATTGCTGGTTTCACGTCGGCGGTTTCTGCCTGTTCAGAGTCCCAAAGGGAAGGCATCTGCTTAGCAGACAAGTGTTTCAAGATGCTGCACTGCAGGGCAATGACGCTGCACAGCCACTGAAAGCAGAGACACAAAGGGCACACACTCAGAAGAGGCCCCACACTGTTCAGCGACCGGTTCAGCCCACAGCCCTACCTTTAGGGCCAGCCTGCCAAGCCCCTCCAACAGGTGTGAAAACGGACAAATGGACGTTAATGAGGAAATAATTCTTCAGTCTGGAAGGGTACTGGTGCTCCCAGAACTGGCCTTTGTAGGAAGAGCTGGACTCAAGGGCTGTCCTTGCCCACCAAGTCTCATCTGGACAGGATTCCCTTTCTAGAGTTGGAACGGGGAACTGATGCCCCAGGGGCTGCAAGCAGCCACCCGATAGCCCCTACCCACTTGGAATGGCTCTCTCCCATCTACCATTTGGGTGCCCAGTGCAGCTACATTTTAGGGACCCACTTTGTTACTGGGGAAGCAACTAATATAGATTTTTCTCTCTCTCTTTCCCATGCATTCTAAAGAGAGCCCGACCATCCACAGCAAAGGAGTTGGACGTTTCCAGTTTCCAGGTAAGGCAGGTTGGCCATTGAATACCCCACAGGAAAGAGGCGAGACACCTAGTTCTGGACCCAGCATGCAGACTGCTGAGGCAAGACGCATCTCCCATCTTGCAGTACAAGTATCCCAAAATCAGGCCCCTCCTGTAACAGAAACCGCCTCCTTTCCTGCACAGTGGTTGCCTGAAGACATCTAAGATGCTTGGGGAGAAAAGCGTATGACTGCCACAAGGTAGTCTTCCCAAGCAGTGCTGGTGAAACGGTTAGATTTTCCTCCTGCTTTTCAGGCACAGCCGCTCCCAAAGTAGCTCATTAGGAACCAAAGCATAATCAGAGTGACGCTATTCCATGCAAACTCTTCACTGGGAGACTCCCAGCTGAGCCGTCTGAGGGAAGGTTGTTAAAGCACACCCAATGCCAGCTATTGGAGCTGTGGGAAAGGCAATACCCGAGAGCCAGCTGTCACCGTAACCCAGTGCAGAAGGACTTGACGAGGAGGATCCCCTCCAGACCAGCAGTAAAGCAGCCCTGTGGAGCCCACAGCAGACAAGGCTTCTCTGTGTTTACCTCTTGCTGCTCTGCCTGGGTGGCTAAGTGCTCCGAATTCCAAAGGTGCTTGTGCGTAGACTCCTCGGGAACCCCGTTACAGATGAGCTCCCCGTCCCTGATGGCCGCGGGTGGTAGCAATGGAGGTGGAACCCGATACTGGGATTTTATAGCATCAGGAACCTGTAAGGAGGAGAGGAATCGGTACCTATTACTCAGTAGCAGCATACTTGCAGCAAGAGCCCTGTGCACAGCAGTACAGTCCAAAGCCCCCGTCCCTCCACCAAAGCCTCTTTCGGAACTACCTCCTTACAGTATAGTACTTCTGCCTCACATAGTGATTTTACAGCAAAAAAAAAAAAAAAATGGCAGGAGGGAAAGCTCCTAATTAAGAGCAGCAACCAGGACTGTGACTTCCAGAAGGGAAGTGACCTTATCGATCGGAGAAGGCGTCACCCCTCCTTCTAGAGCCATGCAGCACCACCGGCGGCAAAGCTGTGAGACTGGACAGCGACCAGATGCGCCACTGCCCAGCCCACTCAGTTCCTTGTCGGCCACGCATCAGCGACATTGTCTCTACCTTCAAGGCCCTTCTCTTCACTGACTGCACCACCCGCCGATTGGGTGGATGCTTCTTGTGGATCCGATTCAGGAAATCCACCTTGACCGCATGCTGGGAGATGGTGTCTTGGAAGCGGTCAAACACCCGGCACCGGTTGCTCAGGGTCATGTTCTTCTGGTTCAGCTGGAAAGGAGAAATGGCGCTGTGTTACAACTCCCACAAAGGGAGCCGTGTGACTTGCAGCAAGCAAGAGGAGGCACCCAGAGATTTAAAAAATAACAACAACAGAGGGGGCTCGGCTTACCACAACATGCTCAATGTGATTCGGACACATCCACCTGCCTAAGGGCATGGCTGTGAGCGGAGGCTCCAGGCAATCCATATGAAACAGGAGTGGGCAGTAATCACACTGGATGAGAGGGGCCACTCGGCAGCTCCTGAAAAGACGGAAGGCAACGTTGCACAGGGCCGGGTGGAGGGTCGAGGAGAGAACGGCAGTGGGTGGGGGAGAGAATTGTCGTGCCTGTAACTGGAAGGTCCCACAGTTCAATTGTAGCAACAGAAAGCAACACCTGCTCTGAAGGCAGTGAGGTGGGCATACCCCAGGACAAGGCCCTCGGGCATGCCCAGGCTAACAGCTACGCTACTTGGGGGCAGAGAAGGAGGAGACCACAGTGTTGCAGCAGACAGGATCTGGGAGAAATGGCAAATGCCACCCACGTCCTTCCCAGAAAAAAGACTCCAGATGGGAGAGGGACAGCCTTGGCAGGAGCTGCTGAAGTGCTGGCAAAGTGGCAGGCCGGCCCAGACACGTACGCAAGCCAGCTTCTGGGGAGGACTCCAACGACAACAAGCAGCTGATGAGTCGAAAAAGGAATGCCTGAGATGATGCCTCTGACACACCAAACCACTCTGGAACCAACCCAGAAGGACCACTCATGTGACTTCCCGGACCGGAACAGTGCTGCACAAATCCCCGAGCACTATCGGCAGTATTTCAGCACCTAGCGTTTCTCCAGGCACAAATCAGACTACCCAGTCGCTTCTCAGTTCATCCCCACAACCACCACTCCCCCTTATAAAAGGCCGTAACGACTCCTATTTTACTGATGAGGAACCAAGGCGGACTACCCGGGAACAACAAAGCAGGGAAATCTCCTGCTCTTGCAGGTGATCAGCCATTCCTCAGAAAAGGTGGGGGAAGGCAGAGAAGAGATGCATGCATTCCCCCTTTCACCGGCTGTGGATTTTGCAAGAGAGAACTTGTGCACAGCCAAAGTCCACAGGACTCCCGGGTGCCCCCCCCCAATAGCAGACCTGCTGAGAGTCCCAAACCACACCCCCGATCTCCAGAGAGCAGGCACAGAACTCCACTGTGGCCCTTGAGGCCCACACATCGCAACAGCATGACTTGCTCTGCCCCTCACCCACATGGATACCTGCTGCACGTGAAGCAGACTTTCACTGGCAGGGGAACCAACCCATTGTGGTCCAGTTCGTGCTGTGCTTTCTTGACATTCTTTCCACTGGTCTCCTCCTTCCTTCTCCTCTTACTGGTACCTGGAGGAGAAGATGGAAACAGCTCCCCGTTACTTCTATAACACCTAAACTTGCAGATACAGAAAGCAGGGACGATGGGAGAAGAAAACACACGGACGTAGGAGGAAGAGCTAAGCGCCCCCTGCCCCCAAGTGCCCTGCCAATGGTGGGTGCCTCTGCTCTCCAGAGAACAAGAGGGTGGGTTAAGGCCTGCCTCATTTTGCACAGTTCAGACCCTTGACTGCTGGCATTCTGTATGTCCTCTGGGCACCTGGTGACAGCAGCTGGTAGAAACAAGATGGCCCCTCGGGAAGACAAGGCATGCAAGGGGATGGTGCTCCACTCGCCTGGAAGTGCTGTGGTGCAGGTCAGTTCATTGGGCAGCTGGAACTGGGTTGGGTTCCGTTCCATGGCAGCGGCGATCAGCAGCTCAAAGGGCCGCTTCAGATGGGGCTGCCCGCAGTCTGTTTCTGTCGTGGGGGCAGAGTACTCATCCACGTCAATGATGTCCTCATCCACGTCGTTCTGCTCCGAGTTGGGCGTTTCAGTGCTGGCATTGGACGTGGGTGTGCCAGGCCGGCTCGCCCGGCGCTCCAAGAGCCGAGTGTGAGAGAGGGCCCGGAGGCTGCCGCTGCTCGACCGGTCCAGGAAGTCCGCGTCGCTGGTGGGGGATGTGGTCCTCTTCCCAGACTTGTCCACCAAACCATTCACATGACCCAGCTCCTTCTTCTGCTCTCGCTTCTGCAAGATACAACCAAATTTAACAGAGCACGCAGAAGAGAAAAATGCGAGATATCTTCCTCCACCAAGGAAAGTACAATGGCTAGCTTGAAAAAAGAAGAAAATTTATCATTATATATAAACATGAACCTGAGAAATAGAAACTACAAGACAAGAGGAAATTTATGAAGACATCCTATCAGGTGCTCATATAGTTACCATGCAGTAGTACTATCCAATAGGAGGAGCTTTTGAAAGGTACTGATTGCTTAACTCAGAGTCTTTACGTTCTGGTCACATTTATGAAAGAGCTTTAAACGGCAGCATCCTTCAAAAATGGTTCTCGAGAAGGCGATGGCTTTGCACTTTGCTGAGCAATTCTTTACATTAAAAGAATACCAGCCCTTGACAAAGGCCTCATTTTGACTAACCCTTTTGACAGTTCAATTTGACGGGTAAGTTCCTCCATTAAACAAATCTGCCGTATCGTTTGATACCCACTGGTTTGTGTCCAGGGGATTCGATGACTTCCAGTGCAATGCGCTTGAAGATGGCGCAAGCACAATTTGCATTTCTGCTAAGCAGTTTTCAAACGGATACAGAGGTGACACACAAATGTGGGGTGCCTCTCATGATGTAAGGCAGCAAAAAAGGGAAGAAACCTCCCCTTGAACTGCAATCCAGAAATATCTGGGGTCTCAGACTCTGAAATATATTCCCAGGTACACCTTCAAGCTGGCAGCCCCGGGAGTCAATATTTGTATTCAGCCGTGCTGGCTTGGTTGGCTGCAGCAGACGGGGCAGCCATATCTGACAAGCCAGAACCTGGCCCAATCGTCTCCCTCGCCCATTTCCCACACACAAGGCAGGCATAACTCACTTCCCTTTTTGCTGCTATGGCAACAACAGGAGGCCGCTTCATTCTTTTAAAGCTAGCCGGAAGGAACTGGGCTGCTTGGCAATCCAGGCTGCCAGCCTGAAAGAGGCAGAGGCCTGCTGCCAGCGCAGCGACCGCTCCCTTTTCACAGCTGCAACCGACTCGCAATACAGCTGTTTGAGGAGGCACAGACGGTGGGGGGCCACGGCCACACTAAGCAAGGACAGCAACTTAAAAATGGATTTGCACACCAAGGAGAAGTGGAGGCACAGGTGGTTTATTCATCAAAGGGGCGCTGTGACTTAATTCATTTAACTTTTTCAGAGACCGATGAAGTAGGTTTTTCCCTTGACTGAAGCAGGCGGCCATTTGAAACAAAACACACTGGGATTTAAGACTTTTTTTTTTCTTTTTTGCCTGCAAGTCATTGCTATTTTTTCCTCATGTAGATTTTTTTTTCATAGCTGCCAGCTCTCCTGGGTTGTTCCCAGCAACAGAGGCACAGAGATTTATATCTGGAGCCAGGGAAGTTCGATCTAGGAAGCATTTTGTCTTTACCTTTCTACGCACTGTACAGCGATGACACATCCACTCCCCTGGAGGCAGCATCTCCTCACTTAATGGAGGGTTACTACGAGAAAAGACAAGAAGCAGACAGTTATTCTTCAGCTCCAACACGTGACCTGGATATACATCCATTTCAAGCCAGAAGGGTTAGGAGACACGCAGCAAGGTAGTCCCTCTGCCTCATTCTAGACCATGCCTTCTGGCCGGATGTACAGCTAGCCTCTTGGCCTGATGAACTGGAGGCTGCTTGTCATTCTCTGCTTTTACAAAGAGACTTTACAAAGCACGAGGGTGCTGGCCGCCTCCCCCCACCCCATTCAAACTCTTTTCTCATGGAGCTCAAGAAGCTATCCGGAATCACATCAAGCCACCTTAAATTTGTTGATAGGAGAGCCATTACTGTACAAGCGCACACAAAGCTCGCAAAGGGTCAAGCACTTCCTTGGAGCAAGGAACACGTGGCTGTACCTTGGTGGGAAGAACAGAAAGCGGCTGACCTTCTCAAATGACGCTTATTGTTGAGGGCCAAAGCCGCCTTTCAGGAAACAGAGGTCTTGCACAGGGGCAGTGTTCCCTCTAAGCTGAGCTAGTGTGAGCTAGCTCAAGGTTTTTTAGCCTCCAGCAAACAGGTTTTAGCCTTAGCTCAGGAAGGATGGCTCCAGAGCAAACTAATTTAAGCAGCAGCCAAATGGCTCGCTCACAACTTTAATACCAGGAGCTCACAAGGTAGAATTCTTGCTCACAAGACTCCACAGCTTAGAGGGAGCATTGCACAGGGGCACCTCGCAGAATGCGACCGAGTTTTACGTGTGTCAGTAGGTGCTGCCTCCCGTTCCCCCTTGGTTTTTATGCTGCCATTTAGAGAAAAGACAGGGGTGTAAAGGAAAGAGTCACACACTGAGTCGGAGGGCAGGATGTGCAGAAGCCCAATCTAAGCAGCACAAGGAAGGAACCAAAGGAAAGCCAGACAGGAAAGAAAGCAAAAGGAACCAGGAGGGGACGCTGGATCCCAGAAGTCTGAAGGCCACCTTGAGCCCAAACACAGCCTGCCCACGTCTCTAAGATGGAGACCCTCCCAAGGGATGGCTGCTGGGCCAGTAAAGGAATTATGCCCCTTTCTTTTCCAGATCTTAGTTACCGCACTGTCATGAGGTAGGGAACTGGAGTGGTGCCACGGGTTGAGTTAAGGCTTAGAAGAGACCCAAGTTCCAACCCCCATTCAGCTGCAAGGCTCTGTGACTAATGCACCTCACAGAGATGTCAGGGAAATAGTGAGAAGTGTTGCCTGGAAAAATACTGGTATGCAAAAATGATGCTAAGAAAGCACTTCAAAATATTTGACCAGCTGTTGGACCTCACAATCGTTCATTATTTCTGTGGCGGTATGGGCCTGCTCTGGCCTGCAGGCCCTGTTCCACCCCATTCTCCAGAGTTTTCCCAACACCTGGAGAAGCTTTTATTTCTCTCTCAGGTAGCCCGCTGCCACCACCTAACCTTTGTAGGAATTGCCCGCTGGGAGGGTAAGGGCTCCCAGCATCCCTTCCAAGTTCTGAGGCCTTGCATCTGTGTCTCCTGCTGCCCAGCACCTGGTCACCATGGGAACAATTTGCTGTCTTGTGCGCCCCTGGAGGAATAGCCACTTGCGAACTGCCTTCCTTCCCCGGCACTCCTTTTAAAATAGCATGTCAGAGATGGTGAAAGTCTATGTGGTACAGAGAACCACTACCATCATCCAAAGTTGTAAAGTATTTATTAAAATGAAACATGTTCACAAGCATGCTTTTAGCACAGCACCAGATCGAGCAAGGGATTCAAGAGAAATGGTAAAACACAATTCCTCTGCCCCACTCTCTATACATGCCCTATCAGATGTTAAAATACAGGACAGGCCCTTTGCTTAGGATGTTCTAGATCTCTACAGAGTTCCATTACCTTGAGGCAACCTTCAGCTCTTCAAGCCAGCACATAGTCAAATGGCTGCCTCCTCCAGACCTCAGTTAGAGATCTATCTGCTCTGATGGTCCCAGTGCAAAAGAGACCTCCTTCTTGCTGCAATGAGTTTTTATCACCTCTTTTCCCCACCCACTGGCCAGGTCAAGCTGGGTCAGAATTGCTTTTCTTGAAGATTTCAGACTTTCCTTCCTGAAGACTCTCTTGTATTTAATACCTCCAAATATCTGTTTTCTGCTTGAAGGGGGGAGGAGCTTGACCATCCTACTGTCTAGTCCTAGCATTTGTATGAGGTCAGGTTGAAGTAAGTCTGGAAAGCAACTGAACTGACTTCCCCCCTTCCTGTCTGTTCTCTCCCCAGAGAGAGAAAAACGTTTAAAACTCAGAGTAAAGGTTTTACTCAATTCAAATCTTTTGCTCAATTTTGCTAAAGGTTTTGCTCAATTCAAATTCATTTTGCAATGAAAAAAATGCATTTCTCCACAATTTCCAACTCCCAGACCATGGTCAGGCCCAATGCCCAATCTGCAATACAGCGATTATTGCTCTGACCTACCTTACAGTTACTGTTGTAAAGGCTATGGCAACAATATATAAAAGGCTCTTTGAACAATTAGAATCAGCATAATTACTCCATTTATTAGTGGTGGTCCCATTACCTGTGCAAAGTTAGAAAATGGCTTTACAGCAGGGGTCCCCAAAACTTGCAGAGCCTGTGGAAACTACTGAAAATGAGAACAGCTAGTGCCACAAAATGGCATTCTCCAGAGGATGATGATGATGATAATAATAATAATAATTAAAAAAAAAAAACCACTTTGCCACGTATTATAACACCATACAGGTCTGAAGGCTAAAAAGCATGATCTGCAAAAGATTCAAGTACAGTGGAAAAAACACACAAACAAAACCTGTGACTCACAACAACCTGGCAGGAGGTATTGGGAGCATAGTTAAAGGTGATGACCTGCCTTTAAAAAGAGAAAGGGGAAAAGCCCAAGCATTTAACATCTCTCTCTTCCAATTAACAGCTGCCCTCTGTGCCTTGAGGAGGCTGCCAGATTTATTACAGATCTGTTTTATCAACAGATCTGATGGGGAAGGTTGACAGCAGTTCTGGAGATGCTTGGGGGGGTATAATGATGGCATTCTGGAGCACAGGGTGAGGAAAAGCAGGATCCAGCCTGCACAGTAAGGAAGACGACATGCACCAGCGCATCCAGCCTCAGCTGCAAAAAGCACACAAGGATCCATCCATGCGGAGGGTGCCAGAGACAACAGACAAAAGGCCTCTTTGTGGAGCAGAGCCTGCTCATTCCCACAAGCTTGTTGCCCTTCAGCAGTTAGGTCCAGTTTTGGGCGCCCCCAAAGCATTTCCATCACCCCAGATTTGGCAATGCGGGGAAAAACCCGAATCCTCCCCTCTGATACCCAGAACTCAGACCTCGCCCATCCTCAGGGGTCACATTTACAGAAGCTTCCATATTCAGGACTCTGATGATATTTATTAGGAAGTGTTCCCACTCTCCCCCAGGTGTGTCTGTGTGTGTCTAGGTGGGGGCTGGGCTTCCAAGGTTCACCTGCTCTGCCTTATGGTTGGGTTAGACTTTTAAGCCTGTGGCATTTATATGGTTCTGTTTCAACATTATGGAAAAAAAACCCTACCCCAGTTCCAAAACTCACAACAGTTTACAGAAAGACAGGCTTTCTAGGTTGTTATTTATGTGCTGGATCACAGTCTGGAGACCTCGACAGCATACGTGACTCTCACAACTAAAGAATATAAAGACTTTCAACTGGGATCCACTGAAAGGGGGGGGGGGACCACTACTGCTGCAGCACCAATGACTCTCAGTTCTGCAAATGCAAAAGACCTGTGTTGCACCCACGGCATACATGCTTCTTTGCAACTGGCCCTTAAATGTTATCTGGAGTGGACTTGCATACGAACTGTCTTGGCCATGATCCATCCCTACCACAAAGAAACAGCAGCCGGGCCACTGCTGTCCACCCCCAGCAGACATTTTTCCAAGCCACGTCTCCCTGTCATTGGCCACAACCGGAGAAATGGAAAGAGCTCATCTTTTCCAAGAGACAGATTCGTGACCAGGAAACAGCTCCCTTCCCTCCACACAGTGGAGCTCTTTGTTAAGATCCTGCCAGCAGGGGGAAGCGAGGAAGGGGGGAAAACAGCAGTCACAAGAGCTTCTGTTGCTCCAATCCAATCGCTAAAAATCCACCTGCCTTTAAAACAAGTTCTGCCATTCAGAAACCGGCGGCTGCCATTCATCCCTCTCCAGGTGGAAGGAACAAAACCAAGGAAGGGGTTGTGCGAATCAAATTTGGCCACGTGGATGTCCACACAACGGGCTCAGTTGCAGGCCTTCTACGTTCTACCTCTTTTACGGTGGCCTTCCTGCCGAACGACTCATTCCAGCTTTGCCCCAACAGATGGTACCTGCTTAAGCTTAACCTGGCATTTTGGTATACTTGGCTCCTACAGCTTGATTAGGTGAGGTGGGAGGTCCTGGGAGCTGGTAGGGGCTGTGCTTCAATCGTCCCTGATATGGCTACCTTCTGAATTCTATATATAGGATGGAAACGGATCCGAAATCATTTAGGAATGAAAGCTGATATTTACATGAAACACAATACAGAACTGTACCCAGGGCTGAGCTCAGTTTGTCTTGGGGGTGCTGCTTCGTTCTCACATCTCTTTGTTAACCCTTGTGTTTACCTGCTAATTTGCTGCTATTAATCAATCTTATCGGCCACCTGAACCAATTTCAGCCCTACTTATGCATCTTGGCTGTAACTGGCCCTTCCTAACGGCTGCCCCCCACCCTCTTTTTCCTGTAAATGGGGCCTGAGAAGATTTAATTTCTTTGTGTCTGACAAAGTGTGCTTGCACACAAAAGCTTATACTTTGAATGAAACTTTGTGGGTCTTAAAGGGGCCACGGGACTCAAACTTTGTTTTGCTGCTTCAGACCAACAGGGCTACCCACCTGAAACAATACACAACTGCTGCCTTTGCCTCCAGAAAACCACAAGTCTTTCAGAAGCATGAAACAAGAGGGCCATTTCGTTAAGATTCCTTCATATTTGCTGCAAA